TCATTTGAAAGACAACACACATAACATAACAAAACTAAAAACTAAAAAGTAAAAAACAATATGTAAATTATGAATTTCTGTGTAAACAAAAAGGCGACTGAGTGCATCAAAGAACAGCAGCAGGAGAACCTCAGCCATTAGCCCAGCTACTGTATTCAAATCACACAGCACAGTACCATATACCTTTTGCTAGATACCATACAGATAGATGTATGTGGTCTCCCTGATCTGTTGTCTGCTTGGGCGGCATCAAAATTGATTTCTCATCGTGTCAGTTGCTCAATAGGCAGCCCAGGTCTCTACTCCAAAGCAGTGCGCTGTGGACACTCTGCTTATTAGCTGACGGCCCTAGCCTCATTGACGTCGCACTGTGGGGAGACTGTTGGAGAATGTGATCAAAACTATCACTGAAAAATAGACTTGTATTTATTCATATTTATAATCGATAACATAGGTATGCCGGAAATACTTTTAGGTATTTTCCATGGAAAAATTATAAGTATGAACGAATACTCAATAAATTCATACTCTATATTTCATTGAAATATATTGGAATAAAATATTTTACATATGTTTTTAATTTATCTAACATATACTATTCAGTTGCACTACTATTTTCATGTGCTGTCTATATATAATTTAAATATAACTTAATATATAATTGGTAAATATTATTCCTTAGCTACACATATGGGTCTATTTAGAATTTTAGCTCATATGTCATTAATTTTAAATACAAAATTTATATTTTTATTAGAAAAATTCAGTTCTCTTTCTATATTCTCCCTCTCAGTAAAGCCGTAAAGATGTATTTAGCCTTTGCATATGAAGTCGACACCACTGTGCATCTCTGGCGGTGTCTCTTGTTGTGGCAATAGGTCTGGGCCACCTACTTTACACGTTCGCTACTTGAAATGGCGTTTGTTGTCTTTTCTGCCGCTCTCGCTCGCTCCGCCTCTCTTTCTCATTCTCATCTGTCTATCTGCTGGAAAAACAAAAATAAAAAAAAAAGAAGGAAAAACAGCTCGAGTGGGAGAGAGGCGGGGGAACTGGGGAACCTGCCAAATTAGTTGCCATGTAGCCTTATGACCCATTGCTTGACAAGCCGCAGATTGGGTTACCCAATTCCAATTCCAATCCCGAAAACCGTGCCGTCTCCGTCTTTAATGTTTGCCTTGTGAAAACAAGAGGGGGGTTAGAAAAAAGATGAAAAAAACGAATGCATTTGAAAACTGAAATCTGGCAAAGCAAATAATAACAAATAAATGAAACTAATGCCAAGAATAAGGCAAAGAGAAAGGGAGAGAAAAGGAAAGAACGTCTGCCCCGAGGACCACCCTCGAGTATTATTTTGGTGCAAAACATATGTCTAGGTATTTAAGCTGTTAAGTAACCCTTTGGCAAGGCCTACTCCTTCTCTCTTAAGGCCAGCCCTGGGGTCGTACTATGTGCCATTTCTTAAAGGTAGAGTTGGGCTGGTCGGCTTGTTTGAGTTTTAATTGACGGCACTTATGCAAAGCCACAAGAGCTGTGTGGCATCTGCAGCAGCAGCAGTAGCTGACGTTGCCGTAGGTCGAAATCCACACCCAGTAATTGGTACACAATAAAATATTTTTGTTGTAATTGAAATCGAATTAAAGCCATGATTCAATCTAGTCGAAAAAATGGATGTAAAGTGATAATATTATTAATAATGATACTGACAATCATATTAATGATACTGATATTAAACATAATGGCAATGGCAATGGCAATGCCAATGCCATTGCCAATGTCAATGACAATGACAATGACAATGACAATGACAATGACAATGACAATGACAATGACAATGACAATGACAATGACAATGACAATGACAATGACGATGACAATGACAATGACAATGACAATGACAATGACAATGACAATGACAATGACAATGACAATGACAATGACAATGACAATGACAATGACAGTGACAGTGACAATGACAATGACAATGACAATGACAATGACAATGACCATGACAAGAAAAATACTACATTACTAATGTATAATAAATTTAACGATTTTCCTAATCATATTGATGATAATAATTTTCTTTATCATAAACAGTCCCATGTTAATGATATAGCACGATATCACAATAATAATCATGAAAATTATAACTGATGATAGTCAATGTGGGCAACTATTGAATACCCGTTTCGAGGGATATTTTCGTTCTGTGTAGCTAACCAGCCGGCCATCTATCGTATCTAAATATCTATTTGTTGGGCTGGCTTGTTTGTTTGGCTTCAGTTTGGCGTAATCGCCTGCTATTAATTCATTGTCCATTATCCTGCAGCTCCTTGCCTGACATTGTATGCATTTTGTTTGTGGCATACAAACAACTGGAGCACATGCATGTGTTGCCGCCGTCTCGACTGCCTTGGGTAGCATCCGGCATTGTTTGGCCAACATGGAACGCTACTCTAAGATATTATCGACAGCTCTCGTTCATTGATAATAACAAGCGGCAAACTGCTGGACGGACCAAACGCCGGCCACTGGGCTGGTCCGCTGCCCGCTGCCTGCTGCCTGCTGCCTGCCCTGCTGCCTATTGTCCTGTCCACTCGGCTGGGCTTGTGCTGTGGGTTAGCATTAGACCACCCCGTCATTGTTAGCCACTGACAATGGTGTCCATACAGTGAATGTATTGTATGTACACACACACGGACATACACACACGCAGAACCATGTTGTGTTTTTGTTGTTGACTTTTCGAGTTGCCGCACAATGCGACAGCACTTGGTATTGGAATCAAATTGATATCCAATAATTTAATTTTGTTATCCATTTTGCCCCATGTCCGGAAAATAGTTTTGTAATTTGCACTATGGCATGCGTGTAACCGATATTATTGTCCAACGAGTCCTTTGGTCCATTGTAAAATAACTCAAATGCTTAGTCCTGAAACCAGCCTCATCATGCTGGTCAGCATTAATCCCTGACCCCTGTCTCCTGACCCCTGACCCCTGACCTCCGACCACTGACCACTGTCCCCGCCGCCTGTAATCCCCATTGTTTGCATTAGTTTTATAATAAAATATTGTTTGTGTGTCGCCCTAGTGTGGGCTAGTGTTAGTGTGCGTGTGTGAAAAAGGATTTCACACTTTTCCACAACATTTTCCATTGATATCGACGTGTGCCGTTAGTTTTTGTTAATAGTGGCACATAGATAGATAAATTTGATGTGGTCTAACGCCCTCGCATCACATCATAATCCCATAATTGTTTCAGAAGGCATTCAATTGGAATTATTCGAATATTGATTTGTTTAGTAGATTTCGACAAATTTCTCACGTTTCAAAATGCGATTATTCATTGAAATTGCAATTGCATTTGCAATTGAAATTGAAATTGATTCCATAGTTAATCTCGAGAAGATTGCCAATTCAATTACTTGGGCAGGTTTCGGCTTAGAGCTTAAGACTTAATAGTAAATTAATTTGACATCGAAGCTTGATATATCACTGAGAGCATTTCATGGTCGTGCAGCGAGAGGACCAAAGGCAGCACATTATGGATAAGAATTTTAAGATCTTTGAGGGATATATCTATGTTCACAGAATCAACTAATAAACGCATAAAATATGTTCAGCTTAATTGTCTTAATATATTGTATTCTTAATCAATATCAAGAGTTGCTTCGAATTGAGGGAAAACTCGAGTTTTGTGAACAATATGTTTTTAAGTCTATGTCCTATATATGTATCTCGCGCATATGATATATTATGTTAATTTGAGATTAAGGCTTCTGTGCTCTTTCGCTGAAAAGGTAAATGGCGATTGTACAAATCTTTGATATCTTTGAAGTATTTAGAGTTTTGGATCGCTCTAAAATTGTGTTTAGCTGATCGAATAGTTTACGCATATTTAGTATACTCGTATAAATATTCTGAACCAGTATCAATAATAGAGTCAAATCTATTCTATTGAGCCTTTCGCAGGTATTTTCATACAATTAACGTTTTTTAAGCATCGACTAGAAATGCGATCAATGAATGAGATATATAGAATAAATATGTAAAAATGCATTACATTAATTGACATCAACAATTAAAGTGTAACTAGGCTGAAGCTTTTAGTAATTCTCTGGGCAGTTACAATCGTAAGCTGCGACCGATATGATCGCTAGCTGGGCATATAGATTCTATATTGTACAGAGCTCAGATGATGATGCAGTATTCGCTGCCTGCGCTCATCAAGCCCACGCCGAAGTGTGAGTGATGTCCCAATCATGGCTGGGTGGGTCTGAATAGTCCTAGAGGGCTACTCTCATCTGCTATGTCTCTATCCCTGTCTCGCTTACTCTCTCTTCTGCAGATCAGCATTTTGAGGAGCCACAAGTATTTCTGTCGCTGGCGCAGCTGCGTGTGCTCAAAGTGCCGCATTGGGGTGGAGGGCCAGTGATGGATGGCCGGCAAGGTGAGTTGCTACTACTACCTGGTCCACTCATTCCCCAATCGAATTTTGAAGTTGGCTGCTGTTTGCTTTGTCGCCAGTTGCCTTTGTCGCGGGCCGGCAGACTCGTGCATCAACATCTTTTGCATAGCTATCCCGCAGCATCCGCCCTGCAGTGCGACAGCGATACTTTGCTCCATGGGCGCACAAGCAGCCAGAGCAGGATTAGCAGCAACAACAGGTTTCATTCCATAACAAATTGTGTCCGCTTCTCGTAACACGTCCACACAGCTTACAGAGAGCCAATGTGGACATCAGACTGGCTCACAGCCTAAGCCTGAAGAGTGGGCACATGAGGAGCACGTGCATCTGTTGCGCCTCTTTGACACTAGCCATGCCTATGTCCATATGCCCTAAAATGTGCTTTATATGGAACAATATCTAGCCGATTCAAGCCTATAAGCAATGAAATCGAAATCTTCAATATACTGGAATTTGTTGTTTTATTTCTTTTTAATTTATTAAATACTTTAACACAGTGTTTGTAATTTATTAACTAAGACATGGTACGATATACATATATATATATATGTGTGGTCTCTATATATATCTATATATATGGTACATATAGGTAGCTCCATAGTTATATGATTCTTTACACAATAATCTCAATAAAGTTAATTTGATCTAAACGTATCTTACGAGCTCTTAACATATGGTACAATACTTCCGAGTGATAAACATGCCACAGGTATGCCAAACTGTTCAGTTTGTATAAAGAAAAAGAGACAGATAAAGATAGAGATAGAGAGAGAGAGAGAGAGGCAATATATATGTGGTTTTCTCCTAGGAGTACGAGTATAGCCAGTGGTATAATACGACGCTTACGAACTAAAGAAATTAACCAATCGCTAGGCTACGATTCGAGTCGCTTCGATTTCCCTAAGAACAAGGATCAACTGGGTTGGGTATTTATGGCTCATAGAGCAGGAGGGCGCCGGCAGTGGCTCAATCCTGGGAGTCGCCCGCATTACTGCTACGGTCCAGGGCCATGCCGCTGGCTCCATTCGACTCGGACTGCTCAATGTCCGAGCTGCTCAGCACGCCGGGCATGTAGCCCGTGCCGGCATAGGGGGCGGACAGGAAGCGCTTGGCATGCGCCTGCATGAACGGATGGTAGCGATGCGGATGGGTGGGCGAGCCGAAGACGGCGGGTGGAACGAGCGGCGAGAACGCGGATTTCATGGGAAACGGCGGCGAGGGAGGCACCTGTGTGGGGGCCGGTGGCGGTGGCGTCTGTGTCAAGTCCTCGCCAGCCAGCATGCATTCCATGGCCTGCAGCACGTCGCCCCTGAAGCGCTGCATCAGCTGCTCCACATCGCTGCGCCGGCGATTGGGAAAGACGCGCATCAGCACATCAATCGGAGAGCGCTGCTGATGCTGCACCTGTGCGTGCAGCTGCTGCTGCAGGGGCAACTGCGCCGCGGGATGATGTGTGGGCAGTCCCGCGGCGGCCAGGAACTGCGTGTGGTGGTAGGGCATGAAGCCCTGGGCATGCCCGTTGCCAAAGGAGCGCAACAGATGCAGATTCTCGGCGGGTGTGTTCGGCGGCGAGTTGCTGTCCTCCTTCTTCAGGCTCAGGTTCTCTGGCGTGGCCTCGTCGGGCGCTGAGTCCACATCCAGATCGGACTCCGGCGAGCTGGGCGGGCCGGTGCGTGCGGGCGATAGGCTGGCTGTCAGGTTGAATAGCCCGGCCACCTTGGGCCGAGGGCTGCTGGGCGAGCCCGACTCGGAGCCCGTGTCCTGATCGGTTTCATTGGAGTGCGCGGCGCCGCGCTTGGAAACTGCAACGAAACGTAAACAGAGACGGAGTTGAGTTTTGGAATCTGGCCGGTGTGTGGGAAAACTGTGCGGTTTTCCACTTCAAAAAAAAGAAAAAGAAAAAAAGACAAGCCAAAACAAATAAAAGTATCAAATGCAACAGGGAAGACAATAAAAAAGCAAAGAAAAGGAGGACAACAAAAATTTAATCACGGGAATCGCAAACACAAGTGAAGTCCTGGAGTATCTGGAGTTCTTCAATTGGCAGATGGAGGAGGGTTCGTTGACATGGAAACCCGCTGCCTGTGCATAAATGGAAACAAGTTATACGATATTTTTTTATGTTTTTGAATTGTCTATTTGATTTAGCAGTTGACGAAGCCGCAGTGAAAATTTAATTAAGTTGCGCCCCGCTGCTGCTGCCTTCACCCCCGCCCCTGTTCACCTGGTTTCTTTTGCTGCGCCTGTAAATCCATGCGTGAAATCGTGTTGAGTTTCAGTGCAAATAAACAGCGAACAGGTTCGATTGATTCGCGTGAGAATCCCGTCCTGTTTTCCTTTCCCGGCAGGACACTCGCCAGCCGCGCAAAAGGGACGACTGCGAGCGAGTCTCGCATTACGCCCTCAGCTTGGCGTTGTCTTACAAACTGACAATGTTAACCAGATTCACCAAATTGGCCCATTGAGCGGCTCCATGCCAGGGACTTTGCAACTGTTGACTGTTTGTTTCTGTTGTTTGTGTCTGCTCTCCTTTGTATCGGATAATGTTGCCTTTGATTGTTTTCATGGGCTGCTCACTGAGCACAGTTATTACAGCCTCTGGGTAATCGATCAGATCAGATGAGAGGCCTCAGTTGGAGTGTTTTCAAGGGAAGACAATGGTAAAGTCTAAAGAGTAGGCCTATGACAGGTGAAATGTAAGCTGGGAAAATTGCCAGATTGGGGTGAACTAATATAGTTATTAAGTTATTATCATTGGTCTTTTAATGACAGATCAATCGAACTCTTTTATTTTGTGCATCTTGATAAAGTTAGAAAGCAAGTGATGTTGAATGTAATGAATTCCTTGGATATACAGGTACGAATATAGAGTCTAAAGAGTCAATAGGGTCTTAAGGGTCTACAGAATATTATGTGGTTTTCTCTAGACACACTTGTGCGTTGACAGAGAATCAAGTATGATTGGTATTAATGTCGGACATATACAATAATATTTGTTTTAGTCTTACTAAAAGTAGGTTTTAGGAATGATATAAGATAATCTTTTTTATAGTTTCACACATAAAGCCAAATCGATTTGCCTACCTTACGACTCATTAGCTGCTATGTAGTCGATTGAACGGCTGAATATTTTGAGTAAATGTATATACACCTATATGAGTATTATGAGGACTATTGAAAATATTGTTGTTAAATACAAAATATGTATTATTATAGTATATAGAACTATTTAAAATATTTTTATTATAGTCCTAAATAATTGGGATTATTCGTTGTTGTTAGTCTTGCTAAAAAAAATTAATTTTAAACCTCCTTTAAGAAAATCATCTTTGACATTTTCATATTTTGATGATGAACTTTGCACCTTCATTCACCTACCTGTTGGCTTTATAATATATAGTTCCATATGATAGTTATCACAAAAACTATAGATTTAAAGAAAACGTTACTGTTCTTGCTTAAAGATATATGTAGTAATAAATATCTAATCTAATCTAATAAATATCTTATTTGATCAATTGAAATTGCCGAATGTGTTGGTTGATGAAGAACTTAAACGTGAGCTCTTTTACCTTTCACCTTTAGACAATACCTCTACCTTTTAGATAATATTAGAAATCTTTTGAATTTTAAAGACTGAACCTGGAATCTAAAAGCGTAGGCTTAAATGTTCTGAGACTCACACCTGAAAGTCAAGTTTTACTGTGAGCCTTACTCAAAAATACAAAAATTTTATAGATTATGCAGACATATGCCATTTTGAAGAACCCTGCCTTGAGGACTAAAGCTCACACTGTCTTTCATGTAAATTAAGAGTTTCAGTAAGAATTAAATTGCGCGATTCCTTTAAGGCTTCACTTAAATTTTAAATTGTTTCAATATTGTAACCCCTTCGTTTGGAGTCTTGGATATGACGTTGACTGGGTTTGGAGAACTTGTTGTTTCCGCGCGGTTTGATCGAGTGCAGGGCAACGCCTTGACTGGGAAGCCCTTGTGTTAACAAACACCTAGAGCTGAGACCTTACACACTCACACTCACCCACACACACCGACACACACTCACACACATGTGTGTAGCTGGGAGTGTGGCACTTTATGCGCCGCTGCGCTTTTGACAATTGAAAATGAGAATTTGCGGCGGGCGTTTTCTTCCGCCAACTTTGAAGCAGCTGTTGTGGGTGGAGAATAACGGGTATGGGGCTGCTGCTGGTGGGGCACATGGGCACACACACATGGACTGCACTGGGGAGTGCCCGTTGTTTGCGATGGCGGGCAGCAAGGCGTAAATATAATAATTTCATATTTGTGCACGGGACTTACCGGGACTCTCGTCCAGCTCGGTGCGTGTGGGTGAGAAGCCGACGCTGAGATGCTCGGAGCGAGTGCGTCCATCCGTGTCGGATTCATTGCCATTGTAATGCTGCCGCGACGGCTGCTGTTGATGCTGATGCTGATGTTGGTGCTGCTGCTGTTGCTGTTGCTGCTGCTGCTGCTGCTGTTGCTGCTGCTGTTGCTGGTGACTGGGCGTGGGACTCGCCTCGTAGCCATCGCTGGGTGGCGAGGGTATGCCGCCATGGAATACGCCGTTTTGTGCTGGTGCCGCACCAGCCACACCTCCGCCGCCGCCACCTACATGCGTGGGACTGTGCGAGTTGGGCGTGACGCTGTCGCCGCCATTCTGCTGCCCAGATCCAGGCACCGATGTGTACAGTAGCCCCAGCTCACGCGCCTCGTTCTCCTCCTGGGCCTGCTGGCGTCGCAGCGCMACCTGAAACGGCAAGGCAAGGCAAAACTGATACATTAGATGGACCCATGCAAACACTAGCAACGCTGCTCGTCAACCCACCTGTGCTGCCATCACGCGCTGCCGCTCCGCAATCAGCGTGCACTTGGCACAGACGCAGTCCCGCCAGCGACAGTAGCGCTTGTGGCCCTTCAGCGCGCTGACCTGCAATGGGCAAAGGAAATTAGTTGGCTGGACAGATAAGTAGGGTCCGAGCGGACGTACCACGCCATGATTGCGGCAACGCGCGCACTTGGGAGTGCGCTGATAGCGCTCCGAGGCGGCGCGCAGAAAGAAGGCGGGCGGCAGGGCGCCCAGCACGGGATGCTGTGACATTAGGTTCTGCATGTCCACGCCCGACGGTAAACTCATGCCGCAAACGCACTAACGGGAATACACTCAAATATGGAATACGCACACACTCGCACACACAGACACACACACACTCTCTTAGAGTTTGTTTATTGAATTTTGTTTGATATTTGATGTTATAAATAATTTGCTTGGCACATTTCAGGTCATTTCACGGTTCTCGACTCACGATTCACAGTTCACGGTTCACGTTCGCTTTGCTTTTGGCTCGGACGCGCGACGAACATGTCAGACGGAGCACTCGGTTGCAACTGATTCAACTTGATTTGAATTCAATGCGAGCAGCCCAGGCAAATGGCGGCAGACGGCAACAATTTACCAATACAAAAGCGGCGTGCGCACACACACACACAAACATACTCGCATACAGCCAGAGGCAGAAGAGGGTTGCAAATAATATTGAGAGCGTGCTGCCCACCACACACAAAGTGCGCTGCCTGCGTCGKCGTCGGCGTCGGCGTCGACGTCAAAGCCAGCGCCAGCCGCAGCAGTCGTAGCAGTCGCAGCAGTGGCGGCAATTAAGAAAAAAGTTTCAAAATCTAATTTGGTACTGT